GAGGATAGATGGATGGGTGCATGCATGCATGGATGGATGGGTGCATGCATGGATGGATGGAGGATAGATGGATGGGTGGATGGATGGATGGATGGATGGATGATGGATGGAGGGTGGATGGATGGATGGATGGATGGATGGATGGATGATGGATGGAGGGTGGATGGATGGATGGATGGATGGGTGCATGCATGCATGGATAGAGGATAGATGGATGGGTACATGCATGGATGGATGGATGGTGGATGGATGGATGGATGGATGGATGGATGCATGGATGGATGGATGGATGGATGGATGTAGGAGCTGTGTTTGACTCACCGAGGAGCAGAGAGACAGCTGGAGTCTTCATGTCGTCCGGATGCCGACTGAATGTCAGTCGGAGCAGTGAGACGCGTTCAGCTTCACCACTTCCTTGTTTACACGGAAGCGAAATGCAGACACGAGTTTGACATAAATAAGACGCCCACCTCCTTCACTCGTTTTATGGACTCTGACATTTTGACTGTTTCAGTACATAATTAGACTCTATGGAGCTCAACAGTAAGACTCCACACAGATCTAGATTGTGAGCCATGACGTTTTAACCTTCCACAGCACACTGACTGCCACACGGTGGCATGTGCGCTTGAAGAAACCACACGTCTGTAAGATCCGTTTGATTTTAACAGAAAAAACATTTTATGACATGACACTGTGGAAAAGAGTCTCCTCATGGTCCCCAACAACATTGTCTCTTATTGGTGGAGCTCACCGTTACCAGAGAAACCAGTTCAGTTTTTTTCGTATTTATTTATTTATCGTTGTTTATTGAAAGTGTGAAAGTTGCGGTCACGACTGAGGCGCCGTACCATATCAAGAACTAGGCTGTGCTTCACTACACACACACAACATAAACTACACAATCTATACACAAGACACAAAAAGGATGAACTCTGTGAAGGCTGGAAGTCATCAAAGCTTTGCGGGGAATTTTAGGTTTATCTGTTTTTTTACCCAGATCTGATCTTTTCATGGCTCACTTCATGGGTAAGGGTTAAAACCCCTTATGAGGGTTTTATTAAAATAAACAGAAACAGAGACACTGCTGAGCTTGATTTGCTTCCCTGTAAATATAAATGACACCACAAAACATTTAGTAGGATTTACTGTATACCCTCTATTTTTCTGAGCATCTCTTTAGAACTTTCACATTTACAGTGATCATTATGCAAAACCTGAAACAATCCCTGTAAAATATCTGCAAGTGCTGCAGGTATCAGAGAGAGAGTAACCACATCCTTCCCACAGATGTTCCACTGAGCGCAGAAACACATGTAAGAGCAGATCTTTCTCACGCTGCGCACACACTGTAAGCTAAATGTCATCAATAATATCATCTGTCTGTAACATCAGCATCACTCATGTTCACCATTTTACTTTGACCCAAGTTCACTTCTACAAGAGCTGTTTCATCAGACCTCATCAGCTCTCCTTCCTCTCATCACATTTACCATCTTCATCAAAGAAATGTGATTTTGAACGGACGGAGGAGAGACTTATATTCTGATTGTTCACCTGACACTCCAGTCCTTCCAGTCAGATTCACTGCAATGTTCAAAAACATATGAACAACTGTGGTAACAACACGAGGATACAGCTGATGAGCCACTACATGAAACTGTGAGAAAGAGCTGTTGGAGCTAGATTAAGATGAGAGGTGACGATGATTGAGCAGCAGGTGGCTTCATGCTGAGAAAGAGCTCCTCAGATGTGAGGTTTGATTTGAGAGTGCTGATGGAGACGTTTAGAGGAGGTCAGAAGGGTCTTCACTTTGTCTCTGTGGATCAGGGGAAGCAGATGATTGGCTGCTGACCGAGGGACTGTGCTGGACATGCAGGACATGTATGAGAACAGTTTAGACACTGATTGTTCTCTCCGACTTCATTCTGGTTTAGAAAAGAGTTGTGTGAGTCTTGGACAGCAGTTTAGAAAGCTGTGTGCTCACTATATTCAGGTGATATTTTCCTGCTGTACTCTAAATAAAAATGTTTTTATGCTGATAGATGAGTTTTCACAGCTTAAAGCCATTTCAACATCGTTCATGAGGTCCCAGACTTTCTCTTGATTTTCGTGTTACACTAATACAATTCTCATCAGGAGACTGTCTTGCTGACAGCCTCTTACACGGTTTTAAACAGAAAGAAACCTTGGCCAGTTTAACTAATTGGTGTGTGTTATCTGGCTTCATGGACAGATAGAGCTGGGTGTCATCTGCATAGCAGTGTAAATGTATGCTATGTCTTCTAATGA